CATACTGTTTCTAATTAACTGTACTGAGTTATTCACAGACAAGTATTACAATAGAAGAAAAAACATTTATAACAGTTTGTAATTTCAAAGCTACCATAAAGATCTTAAAGTTGATCGTATAACCCTTCAGCACGCAAACTGTTTTATAACTCTCATTCTAAATTGTAACTTGATGAGATGTAATTGTTTTAATAAGACATTAGTGAGTTTGCCGACATAGATGGGTCAATATCTTGTGATTAATAGGAAATGGGAAAACACAAAGTCATCTTGCACTGTGCCCTGAATATCCTAAGTAAGAAAAATATTTTTCCTGAAGCATGGTTTCTAGGAACAAGACTGGAGACAAGACAATCTGCTAACCATACTCTAAATTAGCATAAATTTCAGTTGCTAGTATTTCCCAGATGTCTCCACTTGAAAACTACTTACTCCATCTTTGTTTTATTAAATCACCAGCAACAAAAGAAAAAGAACAATTTCTTTAAAATGGAATTTGATATGTGAAAGAAAGGAATGGAATGTCCCCTTAGCAGAGTATTATTCATAAAATGAAACACATTTGTTTGTGGGAAGAGCACTTGAAATGCTCTAAAGAATAAAGTGGCACACAAACAAATGCCAGAAGTGCATACTCACTTCGGAAAGCTGTTCTTATGAGCCTGAGTTTTTATAGTTAATTCACAAATAAGCAGTAAAAAACAGTGTGTATTATTGACCATATCAAAAAATAAAAGGCCATTTTATGCCTGTGCCCCATTGAACAGACTCAACAAAGAAGGCTGGTATTTCTCCACAAATTTTTGCTGTGTCAAATTGCAAAGCTCTCAGAGGAGTTCCTCTGCCAGTCTCACATCATATGATACCTCTAGTCTCGTGTCTGGGATATTCCACATACTCCAAGACCGGGTAACTTAGAACCAGCAAGTCAGACCTTCAGCGTCCCATCCTCTTTGCAATGCCTAGAGAGCTCAAAGAGAAGAGCCAAAGGCATTGGGGATCTTAACTAATGAATTTTGCAATATTATTGCAGCCACGTGAGGAAGGTTTAAGTGTTGATAAGAGCTGGATTGGTGGGTGTTGAAAGGAGAGCAGATTCAAAACCTCATTTATCAAGTGATGAAGAAAACTTTATAATGTTCTTTAGCAAATCTTGTGTATCAGAAATGCTTTTAGCAGGTAATTTCTATTTCTTAAAAAAACTTCATCGTTTTTGAAACTCTTATGTTAAATATAAATAAATTATAAGGAGGTAAACAAAGGGTAGTTCTGAGCTAGCTCATGCTCTCTTACTTTAAAAAAAAAAAAGTCTAACTGGAAAAGAAGCTAGGGAAAAGGATATGTAAAAAAGACATCCTTACTTCTCTTGTTGGTCAAAGAATGTATTCATTATGAATACATGTACGATGTGGCTTTCAAATTCCAGGCAGATATTACATCCCTTAAGCTTGATGCTTCATATTAATTCCAGACGAGGTGGTTTAATGATACAGCCATGAGATTGTTTAGCCCTGCAGGAGACGAACTGTAGCCAGACATCCTTTTTATGGTGGATGCCAAAGCTGTAAATGCTGCTGGAAATAGGTTTATGCTTCACAAAAGAGTTTTGAGGCTGAGATTACCACCTCTGGTAGGCAGCTATCCTTAAGCAGTCTTCTCAAATTCATCAGTAATGTTTGTGTGACTGCTTATAACAGAAGCAGGGCTTTAAAGTCTGGCCTTAAGGCCAAACTAAAGCCCTTAAGGGCATACTTATCTTGAAGCATCTAAATAATCCCACTTTGGCCAAATCTAGCTAGAATCCTAGTGAACAGTAAACTTTTGAATAATTCTTACTATAGTCTCTAAATCTCTCATTTCCTTTGAGTAATTTTGTCAGAAAATAAGAAAAATAAAACATTTTGGACTGCAGTATTTCAATGTCAGGGAAGTAAGTGTCAGTTCTGAGTTAACTGAATATTCATGCTATGGTATCTGGTTTTATTAGTTTCATCTGCTGATCTCCATGTTTATTTTACTTTACTTTTTTTAACTAGCTTATTGGGGAAAAAAGCTCCACCCAACTACATTATTGCATTTTCTAGGTTTGATAACTGCCCAGTAAAATGAGACTTTTTCCTAATATCTATATTTCTCCCCCTTCTTCTTTAGGGACATACTTTGATCATGCTATGTGCAGCTTTTATTCCCTCAATATGAGAGAATATGCATTCTGTCCTGGAAACAGTAGGGAAAATCTTCAATGTCTGTTGCTTCATACAAGTTTATCATTTGGGCTGATGCTTATCTTTCTTCCTGCAACCAACCAAGTATCAATGCTGGTGCGTTTTCTTTGTCCTGTTAACCCAAGGAAGCGATAAAGATCGATGAGATCCACGCTTTGTGGCGTATCAGGAAAAATTTGTTTGCCCTAGGGTTTCATTTCCTTTCTGCTTTATATAATGTTAACTTTACAATAGTGGTTATCACGGCAGGCATCTTGCAGCTGAGGAGGCAAGCAGTGTCGCCAGGGATACTGCCTTGCTGCTCTGTGACCAGCTGCAACACTGCCGGTGTGCGGACAACAGCAAGTGGGTTGTTGTTACTCTTTTTCACATAGAATTATAGAAATCTCTTTTGCATTAACCCTAATTAAATGCATATACTCAGAACAAAATAACAGTAGGTTATAATGTGTTTTGGCTAACGTGCACTCTCTCAGGAGACTGTTTATTCTATTTGAGCAAAGGGTGCTTTGGACTGTATTCATTTCTTTTGCATGCGTAGTTACTTTTGCAGATTTACCTTTTCTTTACCTTGCAAAAGATAAATAAATATTTGAATAGCAAGAAGCCCTGTATTTTCCGCTGAAAAGCAGTTATTTTTAAATAGTGTAAATCTGTAATTTTTAAAGATGATATATGCAGACAACTGGAGACAAGATATATTATTTATGAATTTGCATCAAAGACTGTAGCAGTTCACAGAAGAAATGATAAATATGTAGGAAACCTAAGACTGTCGGAGTTTATATAGGCTAAATCCTGTATCTTTAAGACTGTATTTCTGACTGTTTGAGCTTCTTTACCTCCCATTTACTCCAGGTGAGAGCTTAACAGTCTTTCAAAGCAAGTCCTAGGACAGGCAACAAATCTGACCCTGGAGGGTGTGAAAAAATAGAGCACTAGGAAGTAGATCAACTTATGAATGATTCATGGAAAAAGTGAGCTTGAGGGAAGTGAAGATGATGTCTAGGGAAATACGATGCAAAACATGAGAGTCTCCTGGCTACCATGGGAAATACCAAGAAATAGAAGTACAAATCTAAAAGTGAAGGAAAGGAGCAAAGGGAACAGCAGTGGAAAACTAGTGGAGAAAGAGTAAAAATGTGGAAAATAAAGTCATTAAAAAGTCTACAGATGTAGATGGAACTTTGAAGCGTATAAAGAGTGGATAGGATATACAGTCTACTGCATATAAAGTCAAAAAGGCAGATAAAGCTGTGGAGGTATCTCCAGAGTGTCCTTTATAGGTGACAAATGTATTCAGTGTTTTTGAAAAGCGTGGCCTTTCATGGTTAAGAATACAGTGCATCAGTTATCATTGCTACCTATGTACCAGTCTTCATTTAGAAGAAAGAAGAAAAAAAAAAAGACATAATTTTAATCAAATTACTAGTGAAAAAAGTGTAATTATCACTGATGAACAAAACAGGTGATGTAGGGGATCCATGTAAGCACAGAGCAGATGCTGAGGGTTTATTCATAATTGAGCAAATCTGTTGTCATTTATTTTGTATATGCATGTTGCACACAGGAATGAGGAAAGGCCAGGGCAGATGAAGGATGAATCCTGTTGCCATTTAAATCATTAGAAAATATATATGTTGAGTAAAGATCCCAGCTTTTATGGCAGAGGAAGGAAGAACTAGTGATCATGTCTAGCATATTTATAACTTAAAACATCCTTTCATAGGAGTCAAAACCTGAGAACTGTTATGCAGCAACTACCTTGTATTTAACGGGAAGTAGCTGTGGATTATTCTCTCTCAAAGGTAGTAGGTGGCATGTTTTGAGGAACAGATTGTATAGATCTATGCTAAACTGAAAATGGAAGAAGCCTGAGATAAGTGACTAATACGGGGTAAAAGTGAAAGGAAAAAAAATAATCCCATGTGCTTTTTGCTTTTCAAGCTGAACTGAATATTAATGGTGCTGATCTACAATTACCAATTCTTACCAGTTTCTGGAGTTCTGGAGTTTTGGTAGACTTACTTGTTGCTTTTTCCTTGGTGCCTACAGGTATTATTACTTCTCAGATGGTTTGTACCCGCTTCACTGTGCGAAGTCCTGATTCAGTAGCTGTAATGAACTCTGTTTCTCTTTGAGAACTGAAATTATCCCTTTCCAGATTTTTAGGGACAAAGGTGTGATGACAGGAGAAAAGAAAATGAGCCTTTTAAGAAAGAAATTCTAAAAAAAATATGTGTGCGCACTTAGGACATGCCTTGGTACGAAGCTGCTTTTAAAGATCATATGGGGCGTGTAGTCCAACACATTTTCCAAATAAAAGTTTTAAATCTAAAGCAGGCTCACAGATGGCTCTAATGAGCTGGTCTTTGAGATATACTGTGACTTGAACAAAAATAGTTTAACTCCTAAGACACTAACATTTTGAGATGGCTTTCAAGCTAAAGCGCTTGCAGAACAATTTTTCATGCACATTTATAGGTGTAAATGACACTAAAAAGTTCAAAAAGAGTTAACTGCTACGCTCTAATTTCCCAACTTCTACAAAAGAAATGATAGAAATAAAAGTATCATCAAATGGGTTATAGCTTTGTAGCAGAGCAAATATTGTATTGTTTATATTATTATCTATCAAAAAATAGCAAGAATTCATTTCTAATATTTTTATGACATGGTTTGAAATTACAGGATTCTAACTTACAGCATTTCAAAACTATGTTCTTTGTGTCACCTAAGCTTTGAGAGACATCTTATTTCTTCATTTCATCTTAGGTCTGCCTTATGGATGGGAAGAAGCTTATACAGCAGATGGAATCAAATACTTTATCAAGTGAGTAGTTCTGGGGAAAAATGGGTCAGAGTTTAAATAAAAACATTTCAAACTAAACACAGTTTTAAACCTAGAATTCATGGGAAAACGAGTAAAATAACAAAAGCTGTCGTATGTTTTATATATATCTTTATTACCAACATCACGTGTTCTTCTCTGGTTTTTGTGACTTCACTGTCCAGAAGGTCCTAGAGGGCTTAGTCACAAATCCAGCTGAAATTCAGTGAGAGATGTGTTTCTCAATCCTTCAGATGTCTTTGAAAGCCCCAATCTGCAATGTTGAGAACTTCCCCGGTTACATGTTTGACCCTATAATGGACCCAGGATATAAGAAAAAAAATCATCTCATCCCCGAAATACATTACAAGTATAAATATCTATTTTTTTAAAATGCCCTTACATTTTGGGGAAGTGGAAGAATTCTTAGAATTCTTTTAGATTTTTAGAAGGTAATGCTCTGGTTTCACCTGAATCTAAAGTTAATGATGGGGTTTTTTGACATCATATCCTGCTCCCTTATGTGGGAAGTTGTTTTCTTGCTGCAGGAGGGTGAAGGAACAGGACTGGAAGCTTTTAGTCATATTTATAAAATGATTAAGAGATTTCCAACTGCCATACCATTTGGTTAGAAGAAAAGTCATTATACTCTAGACTTTACACTTAAAATGCTAAACGAAGGCTTACTAACCCACGTGTCACCGAATATTGACATTTCATGGTATCCCTGGCTGCAGGTTAAGCAACTTTTATTCCATTGATAATACCACTGATGTGAAAGCCTTCTCTCATGTTCTGTATATGTACTATTTTTTGTTCATGATTTCTACCCTATGAAAATTATACCTATGGTTTCCATAGGGTTTGCTTTCTATATTTTGAAGGGCTTGCCAAAGATAAAGCTATACTCTTCACAGCTGGCTTATTAGAAATACTTATATTAACTAATAGTGAATTTCTTTGCAGGTGTTCAGGATAGACATTGCAACAGGGAGCAGATGTTATGCACTCCCACAAAAAAACCTACAGAAAAATATGTCTGTATTAGGAGTCACCTGTGATTTTTTTTTTTTAGAAGATATTGCAAACAAATTAATTTTTCAAAACTCTCCAAAGACTAGAGGAAGGGTGACATTGATAAGATGTTACAATAACACAGTGTCTAAAGCATAAAGAAAACCTCCACAAAAGCTTTAAAAGCAGTAATCATTTGAAGATGTTATCAGCTGGGGGGAAAAAAAACAACAAAGCACTAAGCTAGGGCCCTTGTTATTTGCTTTTTGGCTTTCCTTAACTATAAGATTTCCTTAGTGATCTTTTTTTCTGAAAGACTAGAAGAAAAACTACAGTGTAAATTCATTGTTTAGAAAAATGAAAAAAAAAAAAAAATTTTTTTTTTTAACCAAATCCAAAGTGTGGTTTATATCCTGCTAATGTCTTGCAGGTAGAGAATTGAAAGCTTTTGTACAAAGACCTACTTGGTAAAAGCTATAGGAATTTGTTGTATACTATAGGAAAGATTTTTTTTTTTAATTGTATTCTCTGATTCTGGAGGAAAAAATGCATGAAAAAGTAGTAGCTCGTGTTGTATTTTCCAGAAGCTTCAGGAAGTGAATTGGACAGTATGTTGTTTTTTCCAGAGTATAGTGAAAATTAATTCATATAATAGTTTTTTTATTATTCCTCTAAAAGATTGAAACAATTGGTGAAAACTACAATTCATCTCCATTCCATATATGTCACCAATCATTGTTTCATTAATAGCAAGTTATTCTAACTGCTGAAATTTGCATGTGGTTTAATTCTCATAGGTGCCAGGAAGACACTATTTTGCAGGTGGACTTCCACAGTCTCCTAAGAGACAGGAAGGGCAGCAAATAAATCTTTGCAGTGAGATAAAATTGCTTTTATCCCAAGCTCTTATAAAAGTCATGTAAATAACATTGAAGTTTATGTATTCGCTAGCCAAGAAAATCAGGGACATGTTTTTCTTTTTTTTTTCTTTTTTTTTTTTTCCCCAAACATACTGCTCTGTTGTCCTTGACTCACCCCATGGTGCCTTGAGCTAGATGTATTAAAGCAGACATGGTTATTTCTGCAGAGGTTTCCAAACACACCGTGTACGATACCGCATTCCAGCTCTAATCAAAGGGCGGCTTTTATTTTCAGGCAGATGTAGGTTACTACATGGGATTTCTACCAAAAACAATTGTAGAAAAATAAGTTAGGAAATGAAAGTGAATTAAAAGCAAATTTCATAGCACTGGAAATAAATACATGAGCAACTATTACAATAGAGCACTGTTGCCTTGGTCCATCTGTTGATGCAGGGAGGCATTGCAGGACAGTGGGAAGGTTAAGGTGGATGCTGAGTTCTGTTCTGGGTCAAACACTTGCAATACTCTGGGTTTATACCTGCGTAATTGGAAACTGAGCTTGAAGGCAGTATTATCTAGCAATAATAGCAAATAAAATTTAGCAGCAGAACAGAAGAAATCTCATGTTCTTGAAACACTTTCCCCCTCTTTTTTTTTTTCTTCTGGTTTTGTTACTGTGCTGCTCATACAAGTACTTATCTTGATGACTCAGCAAAAAGCTAGATTTGCTGAATAGGCGCAAGAAATTTCTTTTAAGTTCTGTACTAGGATGCTGAACTATTGCCGATGTGACAATAAGATAAGTATTAGCAACCTACAGAATCTCAGCTAGTCTAGGTCATGGAAGTCTAATTTGCTGAAAGCATCAGATGTTGTCCATGTTATCCCCCCTTGCTGAAACTGCAGATTTGAATTGAGTAGTTCACATGAAAAAGCTTTTTCAGGAATTTTTGCATATCTGATCTTTGTTTATGACTCATGACTGTTCCTCCTTCTTCTTAACATGCTCCTAGCTTACAGGTAATAGTGCCCCAGGTTTTCCATCGTTGTTACTTTCTGTAATCTGTCCTGTAAAGTTCTGCATGTCAGTCTTTCTGTGGCAGGCAAGGAAAATCTATCTATTTTAATTGCAGAGAAGGGTATGAAATCACCCTTCATGATCACTGTCTGAAAACTTCCATTCTTCTGAATGGAGCCACCACGCTGAAGCGCTGTTAAGAGCGCTTAATGCAGTGCATTGGAATGGAGTTAACTGAGCGCTGCAGTAAGACATCATGGTAATTAAGATTCCTTTTAACTATTTCCTTCTTTTGCTTTCATCACTGTTTTCAAATGCCTTTACAGAGCGCAAGCCGGGCTTTTTGCATGCTTGAAAAGTCATATCTCTTACTACACTTTGTAATGTGTATGTAGTCAGTCTGAGAAAATTAACTATTTAGAGCAAGGAGCAGGGGTTGCATAAGTCCCTTGTTTCTAACATTGAATGGTAGAGATTACATGATGAAAATTCTACCCAACATTGAAAATATCTTTTTCGAGGAGGAACTTAGCTTGAGGTGCATCTTAGCAGGTGATCCTTTTCAGTAGGGTTTAATCTAATTGTTTAAATGGGGATTAGCAGAATAGTTGACACTTTACAGCCCTGGTACTAATACTGTAACCTCCTTGTTCGCTCTGGCTGTGAGTTTCAATCCTTTCATTCTTTGGTGGTTAGAACGGCCAAAGCCATGAGAGGCTTAAGAGTATTTCATTGCTAGCCCACTTCCACGTATACAAACAGATAGAAAAACACGTTATAATTGCCAAACTGTAGCCACAATTAAACTGTTGTTATATGTGAATTGTCAGTTTTCTTCTTATGCAGTTAGGCTGTGAGGCTGTATAGAAGCGGCAGTGGCTCTGTTTAAATCCACAGCAGTTTTACAATATGCTAAGGACAATCAAATATTATTTTAATTAGTAGTTGTCTTCAGTTCCAGCATGCTTTATTGGGCCATCAAGTAGCTGAGTCCATAAATCTGTATGTTATAAATCTAATGCAGTAAACACCCCAGAATGGAATCTTAATAGCACATAAGCTTGAGACAGCTTGCTGTGAAATTTCCATAAATATCTCTGAAGGGGGTGTAGCAATATGAAGTGCATGAGAAATCAGAGTTTAAAAGAAGCAAACCAGCTGGCTTGTGTTACACACTAAAGTGAAACCCACTTATGTGAATAACTGACATGAATAAAACATTTACATGGCTATATTCCTAAGGGGCTGAACAGCTCTCTATACCTACCAGGGAAAGCTCTATCTTGTCCGTGAACCTTCACCTTAAGACAATTTTTGAAATCACCACTTTTGTTCAGGAACTCATTTCAGTCTGTCAGTAAATTATTTTCAATCAACCAGATTGCTAAGATCAGTCACAAAGTACTGGCAAGTGTGAGAAAACTACCTTTTAGACTGCTGGTGTGTCATAAACTCACGTGAGCTGTGCTAGGTGTTAAGGTCGTGTATAGGTTCACCATGAAATAGCAAACAGCAATGTAAACCTCTCTGAGTTACATCTCAGTATGCATTGGGAAAAAAAGCAAGTTCAAGTGTCTTACTAATATAATATAAATTAACAGTTATCAGAAGGACAAAAATTACACCAGTAGACTAAGAGGTAGGGATCAGTTTCATTGCTAGAATAACTCTCCTGCTGGAGAGTCGAGATTGAATTTGGCCCCAGATACGTTTGAAGATAACCTGGTGTACCTCAAAGTAATGCAGAAGACAAGCGCTATTTTATTTTGCGTGTGGCAATACAATCAGCCATTCACACATAGCACCGGATTCACGCCCATCAATTAATGTGTAAGAGAACACATTACTGGTGCCTGTTTCCTCACCAATTCACGCTTGGTATTTCTGTCACTGTTTATATCAGCCACTTTGCTTAAGAAGAGTTGAGATTCTGACCTCATTTGCTCAAAGTGACAGTTGAATGTAGCCTAATGGGGTTTTCAGCAGTCCACTGCAGTTCCAAAATCATAGAATAAAATCACAGAAAAGTCTAGATTGGAAGGGATGTCTGGAGGTCATCTCATTTAACTGTCTGTTGAAGGGTGAGTTGTCCAGAGCCCTGTCAAACC